AGGAATTTTAGCATTTAGTTATTTATTTTTAAAATATTTTATCGGGGAATTGGGGGAGGGGAACAGACAAGTTGTTGTCCTTTTGTTCTTCAGCCTAGTTGTGGAGGACGTCGCTTCACTGGCCCATGTTGGTATTGTGATCATTGCACTCTTCCTAGCTGAGGCAGTCAGTTGCCGGCCATCGCTCACGCTGGATGCCAGCCACTCACCGTAGCTCATGGCAGCCACTGCAGTTCACTGAAGCCTACGCAATCGCTGGCCACTCACAGCAGCCCAGCTCCAGGTTGAGTTGTTTTTCACAATCTTAGTTGTAGAGGGCGCAGCTTACTGGCACATGTGGGAATTGAACCAGTAGTCATGTTGCTCAGAGCTTGCTCTCTTAGCAACTGAGCCACTTGGCAGGTCCAATATTTATTTTTTTAAAATATTATGGTACAAGGAATTTTATGTAACAATTAGGTACAAAACACAAGAACAGATACAAGGCACAGGAAATTTTATGTACTGGTAACAAATTTACGATATTTATGCATCATAGAAGGCCAAGAACTGTTCATTGTCACAAATTCATAAGTTCAACAAAACCAATTATTGTATTTCAGGGTAATTTTGCATACAGGTATTGTTACTGATTTCTAGAGTTACACTTTTTACTCATAAGCATAAATAAAAGAATTAAAAACATTTATATAGATACAGAATTAGCACTACCCACGTATAATTTTTCTCTCAATTTGGGCAAAAATGTTCACATCATACATGGCAAAATATGGTAATGTAGAATCTGAAAAACAAAACAAATGAACAAACAAAACAGAAACAAACTCACAAATACAGAGAACATTTTGATACTTATTAGATGGGAAGGGGGTTGGGAGGATGGGTAAAAAGGGTAAGGGATTAAGAAGTAAAATTGGTTCTATAAAACAATCATGGGGATGTAAAGTATAGCAGAGGGAATATAGTCAATAATATTGTAATAAAATTGTGTGGTGTCAGGTGGGTACTAGACATATTGGAGTGATCACCTTGTAAGTTATATAAATGTCTAATCACTATGTTGTACACCTGAAACATACAATATTGTGTGTCTAGTGTAATTTAAAAATTAAAAAAAAAGGTTTAAAAAGTATAATAGTAAAAGGGGAAATAAAAGACAAAATCATTAAAATTGAGGACTAAATTACAAATGAATAATATATTCAAATTAAAATGCAACAAAGGGCACTGCAAAATAGCATAAAAAGAGTAGAGAATGACAATAAAATAAAATAGGTTAACAGGTATCAGTGATTGCCCTGGTGTTCTAATGATGTGTAATAAATTATCACAAATGTTAGGCGGAAATAACACACATTTATTTCCCTGTAGGTCCTGTGGGTCAAAAATCCAGTCACGGGCCAGCTGAGAGGCACGTTGGTTAAGAGCTGGCTTGGGATACCAGCTTTGTGCAGCAGGGTCCCTGTTCGGATCCCACACAAGGGCCAGTGACGCTGTGCCCTCTACAGCTAAGATGGTGAACAACAGATCGATCTGGAGCTGGGCTGCCATGAGTCACTGGCGTCGGCGTAGGCTGCAGCCCCTGCTACAGTGGGCTGCCATAAGCTACCATGTGTGTCCAGCAGCCAGCGTGAGCGACTGGCAGCCGGTGTGAACTGTCAAGAGCCACAGTGAGCGGCCGTCCAGAGGCCGGCGGCCAATCTGCCTCACCTGGGAAGAGCACAATGATAATACCAACATGGGCAAGTGAAGTGATGGCCTCCACAAGTAGAATGAAGAACAAAAGGACAGCAACTTGTCTGTTCCCCTTCCCCCGATTCCCCAATGCTGTTCTCCTCCCCCAATTCCCCAATAAAATCTTAAAAAAAAAAAATCCAGTCACAACTTAACTTGCTCCTGTTCTTGGGGCTTCAGAGGCTGCAATCAAGGTGTGGCTAAGCTGTATTCTCTACCAGAGGCTTCACTGGGGCAGTGGCCACTCTCAAGCTCATTCAGGTAGTTGGCAGACTTCATCTACCTAAGACGGGAGCTCTGAGGTCCTTTTTTTGCAAGCTGCTGGCCAGGGTTCACTCAGATTTTAGAGATCACCTGCAAATCCTGCCACATGGCCTGTCACAGGCTCTGTGACAACACAAAGTTAACTTTTAAAGCAGACAAGGAGAGTCTCTCTAAGCATGCTAAACTGAAGTCTTACACAACTAAACATAATCACCAAGTGAAATGCCATCACCTTTGTCCTATAACATCCTAATCAAGAGGATGTCATCCTATCACATTTTCTACATAATGTAACTTTATCAAGGATGTGACATCTGTCACCTTTGCCAATATTATACTGGCTAGAAGCAAGTCACATTTCCCATTAGCTTTCCAGGGTCACTTCGAAGTTTGTCCATCTTCTGGCCTCTAATGATCCCATGTCCCTTCCACATGCGTAATTCACCCATCCCATCTCAAGCTCCCCAAAGTCTCATTCCACTACAGCATCAACTTAAAGCCCGTAATCTCATCATCTAAATCAGGTCCAGGTGAGGATGAGGCCCCTGATTGTAATCTATGAAGTACAATTCCTGGGGTACAATTCCTCTCCATCTGGGGACTCATGAAACCAGAGACAATTTATTTTCATCCAATACACCCAGCTTACAATTGTGGGACAGGTATAGGACAACAGCTATAGGTATTCCTTTTTAAAAAGGGGAAAATGAAAGGTAAAAAGGACTCAATGGTGCATGGCAGTTCTGAATTCCAGTTGGGAAAACTGTAGTCAGGGTTCCTTGATTAGATTTCAAGGACTGGAAACAACCCACGTCCTCACTTTGACACACCTGTCCAGCATTTCCTCCTAAATGGAGGCAACTCTCTCTGCCAGTTCTTATTTCCCCCACTAATCCTCAGTGTCTCTTAGTTCTCTCTCTGGATTTTTGCTTTTCCCTCTGAGTCATCCTTTTTTATTTTATTTCCCATAGAAAGTAGCCCTTGTTTGTAGCTTAGTTGTTTTATCAACCTGCTTCCAGTGAAATTTGGGGAGTCCAATAGCCTCCTTTCATTTTGTACTTTCTTCCTGTCAAGGCAGCAGTATTTCTTAAAAACTTTGTGTCTCTTCTGTGGAATCTTTTGGTTTAACTCTTAGACAAAAGCCACATCTACTGATATTTTTGAGACAATGACTTTTCTGTGATGCCCTCTGCTGAGATATTTGAGGCCAACACCTGAGAGGATTGGTGAGGCACACCTTTAACCTCTTGAGAGGGCCCTTTATGTGGCTGAGTTTCTTACCATTTAATCTTTGCAAAATATGTCTGCCACAGTGATGAATATAGAAAGCAGGCAAAAGAAGGCAAAATATGTATACTAGAATACTTAAAGAGAGAAGACAGAATAAGAATAATGTTAAAATGGTTTCCCTTTTTTTTTTAAAGATTTTTTTATTGGGGAATTGGGGGGATGGGAACAATGCTGGGGAATTAGGGGAAGGGGAACAGACAAGTTGCTGTCGTTTTGTTCTNCACGGCAGCCCAGCTCCAGGTTGAGCTGTTGCTCAGCATCTTAGCTGTAGAGGGCAGTATCACTGGCCCTCATATGTGGGATCCAAACCAGGGCCCTCTGGCATCCCAGGGCAGCTCTTAACCAATGCACCACTCGGTCGGCCCATATACATTTAATTCTTAAGTTTATCTCTAATCATTTAATCTTCCAATACTCTGAGTTACTTTTTCAAAGCATTTATCTCATTCTAACACACTATGGAATTTATTTACTTATTAAATATATTTTTTAAATTATCTATCTCTTATTGCAAGAACGTGAGTTCTTCATGAATAAAAACCTTGAGTTTCGCTAAGTACCTAAAAGAGTGCTTCATACCTCACTAATGAATCATGTTTTGAAGATTCCATTTTATTCTGTTTCTCTTCCGTTTTCCTTTGGTTGGCTTTTGGCTTTAGGTTTCAATAACTATTGTCACTGTCCATGACAGAGCAGGAGAAAGATCTGGACAGGAGACTGAAATGTACTGGAATGAGTCACAGGTCAAGAAGGTGTTGTGGACGGGAATGGAAAAGCAGAGAGGGTTAAAGAACCATATGATTAATGTTCTTATCCTCTTTTTAAAGCTTTACTGGGACAGGTAGCAGGACTAGTAATTTGGGTTGATAAACTGAGAGTAACCTATTTTAAGTTTCTAGGTATTCTATCACTCATCATCCCAACTTTGTGAAACAAACACCCATGAAGTTACACTTATAATAATCATGCTATATTTTGGCACTTATATAATCTTTGTTTTTAAAAATACACATCTGCATACTTATTTCATTGGATTATGTGTTCCTTAGAACAATGAGTCTATTAATTATTTTTCCATATGAAGAATCTGAAGATCAATGTAATGAACTGACTTGCTCGATGTCATTTAGCTAATTAATTTTATTTCTCCAATTGCAATGATCTCCAATAAAATTTGTCCTTCTCACTTCCTGAGCCCAAACCTGGAAAATATAAATTACTTTGGAAACAACAACAACAAAATGACATGCTACTTTATTTGTGGCACAAAAACTTTATGGAGCTGGTTACTCTATGAAATCAGATAGACAAAATAAGTAATAGCTTCGAAAAAGAGTTCAGAGTGCATTAAAAGTAGTAGGCTCACAAATTGCTGATAAAGAAAAGCAAAGTGTTTGGAGAAATATATCTAGTATTAGAGAGTATCATAAAGTAATGCCATGAAATCCTTAGGATGTATTAGTTGGTTCTGATAGAAAGAGGATAAGGCTCTTGGTGAACACTGCAATGATACGGGGACATTATGAAATGTACTTTAATCTATGAACTAAACATAGACTTGGGGCTAGGGTTTTGGCTCCTGGGAGGGAAAACAAGCATAAGAATTCAGATTGAGGGGACTGGGGTTTCATAGGCCACTAAGTTTCAACAAACTCATTCACTGTTTTTTCAATTCTTTTTCACAATTCTAAATCCCTCAAGTATGCACTCACCCACAATGTCTTCACCTCCACAGGGGCTCATCACTGTGGTCAGAGCAAGGGTCCTCAGAATCAGAGCTTTTATGGTGGTCATCCTCCTCCAAGGGTCTCCCCAGAAGAGACTGTTCTGAGTGGAGCAGTGATGAGAATTGTGCAAAGACATGATTTGAGGAGGAGAACTAGTGGAAGAAACCATTTAGGAGGAGCCCAAACCTAACCCTGCTGTAGCACTTCTCAGCCCATCAGAGGAATTCCCTGAAATGACACCTCAGTTGCCAGTGGAAGCACTTTTGTGAAGAGACCTGAGAGTAGCCTGGAAAATGCCCTTGTTTTGAGTTATCTGGGGGCTCAGATTCACCACGGAGCAGAGGAAAGCTTTAGAGATGGAGGGAGAGGAGAGGAACAGAAACCCCTGTTTTCTCTGACAGAATGTGTGTGTGAGGAGGGGTGTAGAGCTGGGGGCTGCCGGGTGACCTCATGGGTGGGCTGTAGAGTCCTTTGCATTAACGCTAATTGTTACTGCCTCTGGGAAGTCCTTATTGTGCTGTGCCCCACCTCACGCTGCTCCACATCCCTCCACACCCACTATGCTTCAGGTGATTGGGATCAAGCAGAAACCAAAACAGACAACAATTCTGGATTCAGGGAGCTTACTTTCTACATTTTGGGTTAGATCTGTTCTCAAAAAGGTCTCCACTAGTAGCAGTCAATTAGCATCTTGTTTTTTTTCTAAGCAAGTTCTTCACTCTTATTTTTAAAAGCATCATAATTTTAAGCACCTGTAGTTTTAAAAAATGCTTAAAAAATTGTAACATGTAGAATTGTGACATTATGTAGAGTTATCCACGATAACAGCAAGCTCTTTTCTTCATCCTGATATTTTCTGCTTCCTGTGGTATGTTTTTGGTGTTGTGTAACTTAAACTGAAGTTTGTGAACGTGATGCACATCCCAGAGAACTGTCTCAGTTAATTATAGACCATGAGGTGCTGTGTGGGGTGTCACACCTGTGTAGAATTACCCTAAAATTATTGGTGTAGATATTTGAAGCTACTGATGGTCTCATGCTTCACTGTCCCTCTGACATATGCCTCCATGAACTTGGAGGTATAATATTTCTGGTTTCATTCAGGATCTATTTACCATGAATCCTTCAACTTTCTGTACAACAAAACATAGGTTTTTCCTCATATCATTCTAACCTACATTATATCTTACGGAAATCTCTTGTGATTTTAGCAGCAGAATGAATGTTTCATGTGCAGAGACATTAGATTTCACCTATAATTACCTTTCTTTTTAGTTCTTTTTAATTCATGTAAGAGGCTGGAGTTTTAAATACATAGTATTAGAACCCCATTAAACTGCAAGATCCCCATTTGAGAGGTCAGATGGGAGGAAGAGAGCAAAGTCCTGCTACCAGATAATAGGCATGGATGTGCGTACGTGCGTGTGTGTGTGTGTGTGTGTGTGTGTGTGTGTGTGTGTGTGTGTGTGGTGCATGTGCACATGTTGGGGGAGATTGGGGGAAGAGTCGGTATTCTG